TGCCCGCGTGCCGACCGTTCCAATGGCCTGATGAGGTCCATACCAATTCTCTCGAAGGGGGCCTGCATTAGCGGTAGAGGGCGCAAAGGCGCTTTTGGGGAGGCCGATGGGTTTACCAGCTGACATTCACGACAAGCGGCGCACCACCTGCGCACGTTCTCGTGAATGCCCGGCCAAAAGAATCGGGCCATGAGACGATTTAGTGTCGCTGCCTGCCCTAAATGTCCCGCCATTGGATTACAATGAGCCGCCTGGAAAAGCATTTCCCGACGGCTTTTAGGTACCAACAATTGGGTTGTATCCTGCTTTGTCTTGGGTCACTCGGTACAACCGCTCTTTTAAAACTGCAAAATAGGGGTACGAGAGCGGACGGTCGGGATGGAGAGGCTGCCCGTCGATAGTCTGAACCTGTTCAAATGCCCATTTCAGGGAGTCATCCTGGGACTGTTCCAGGGGGAAATCATCACGTTCAGAGAGGGTTAGCCTCTCATTCGCGCTCCGTTCCCCCGGGTCAGTCTCCCCCACCTGCACGTCCGCTCCGGTCCCCGGCTTTCTCTCTCCACAAGATACATCCGCACACAAATACCCCAGTAATTGACTAAAGGCTGGCCAATTCGTCCCCAAAATTAGCGGATGCCGGAGGTGCGGATTAATTGCGACCTCCACACTATGTTTTTGCCCCCAAAATTGAATCAGCACGGACATTAGAGGATATTCCACCACCTCCCCGTGCACACACCGCACCGGAACCATGCGGCTTCTATCCAATGCCTCGAGCTGAATCAGGCTTTGATGGATCGAGGTCTGGTTACACCCCGAATCCACCAAAGCGAGATAAGTACCCCCCTTAATACTCACAGGTATTTGGTACCGGCCAGCTTGATCGGGGGCAGCCTGTGGGTCATCCGGGACCCGGATCAGTGCCCCGACTTCCATCACCGGGCACCGGTCAATGCCCCTCCTTCCTCCCGCGTTTTGGCACCAGTATAATGAGGTTCTTTCGTAGGGCAGGAAGAAGTCGGAGTCAGCGTGACTGAGGCTCGGGTAATTTATTGAGCGGCCCGTAGGGACAACGAATACAGGCAGGGGCACTGGCCACGCAC